GCTGCTTCAGCTGCTGGACTCTGAGCCTGATCCCGGATCGTGACACCTTGACACTGAATCAGGAAATAAAACCCTCTGCTCCGAAGACCGGACTCAACCTCATAATGGGCACAACTGGTGTACAGATCTGGGAACTCGGCTCAGATATGGTGGGAGCCCCTCATAATGGTTACAGGGGGTATGCAGACCTGGGAACTCAGTATAGGGATGGTGAGAACAACCAAAAATGGGCACAGTGGGTGTGCAGCAGTGGTGTCACAAGGGGGGTGCGGCCCGCACCCGGGTGTCACCACTACTGGTGGTGGTTCTACCCGCTGAGCCACCTTAGATAGCTCCTTGCCTGATCTCCTGTGTATCCTCAGTTATACCTAATCAGATGCTGAACTCTGACCTCCTTGCTCCTCCCTTGAACTTCCTATTTAAGCCACGCCTCTGCACTTCCTGTTTGCCAGATTATTGTGCTCCTGCCTTGATCTTGCTTCCTGCTCCCTATGTGCTACAATCTACTCATACTGCTTCCCGTGTACCGACCTTTGGCTGCTGATTCACCGACTACTCTCTCCGTCTCCTGCTACATACCTGATACCTTTGGCTCCTGACCTCGGCTTGTTCTCTGACTACGCTTCTGCCTGCTCCTATACTTCTACTGCCTGCTTGTGTACCGAACCCGGCCTGTTATACAACGAATGTGCCTGCTGCTTCAGCTGCTGGACTCTGAGCCTGATCCCGGATCGTGACACCTTGACACTGAATCAGGAAATAAAACCCTCTGCTCCGAAGACCGGACTCAACCTCATAATGGGCACAACTGGTGTACAGATCTGGGAACTCGGCTCAGATATGGTGGGAGCCCCTCATAATGGTTACAGGGGGTATGCAGACCTGGGAACTCAGTATAGGGATGGTGAGAACAACCAAAAATGGGCACAGTGGGTGTGCAGCAGTGGTGTCACAAGGGGGGTGCGGCCCGCACCCGGGTGTCACCACTGCAGGGGTGACACCAAAATGACTGACGGTGTCACCCCCTTCTAAAAAGTTGGGCACTCTGTCATGGACCAAGAGCCCGACAGCTGCATGAGAGAGGAGGGGAACGTCTCTCTGCCGGCGTCCATCACCAAGATGGCCGTCGACAGGCATCAATCAGGTGGTAGTGTATGCGCGATGACGTCACATCAACTTGGGATGAAGACACTGCGGGGTGTCACCGGGTCCAGAGACCGGGTGACAGCCTACCTCGGGACGCCCCTGATGTGCAGACCTGGGAACGCAATATAGGGATGGTGGGAACAGGTGTACAGACCCGGGAACTCAGCTCAGATATGGTGGGAGCCCCTCATAATGGGCACAGCGGGTGTACAGACCCGGGAACTCAGCACAGGGATGGTGGGAGCCCCTCATAATGGGCACAGCGGGTGTACAGACCTGGGAACTCAGCTCAGATATGGTGGGAGCCCCTCATAATGGGCACAGCAGGTATACAGACCTGGGAACTCAGTGCAGGGATGGTGGGAGCCCTTCATAATGGGCCCATCAGGTGTGGGGACCTTGGTAATCAGCGTAGGAATGGTAGAGCCCCTCCATATTAAGAACAGCAGGTTTGCAGGCCCAGAAACTCAACAGAAAGATGGTGAGAACCCCTCATAATGGGAACAACAGGTGTGCGGATCCTGGAACTCAATGGAGAACTCTCACCAATAGGGTCCCCTAGAGATAGAAGAAACTGTCAGGGAATGTAACTCTCCAGCATCCGCCAGACACTCGCGGCGTACACCAAACCTATCAGCTACGGAGGGGCTGACCCTATAACAAGAATAAAATGAGCTTCCTGCCTCTATCTTCTCCAGTAAAATGACCTTTTAAGAGTGAGAAGAGCCGGGTCTGGAAGGACCGTACTTGGTAATGATACTGATAATAAGCTCAGGAAACTCTTAAGCCCTTTCCATTTACTGTGTCTGATAATGGAGTTATTTCTCCTAATGGCTGCGGGTGCAACTCTGGACAGAACCTTTCTCTCTCTTAAGAAAGGAAGAAAAAAAAACACAGCAACATCTTTCTGATGTTCATTAAACAACAAAGCCGAGTTATCGGGGAAAAAAAGAAATGCTTCGCGTACTTCAGGTTAGAAGGATTTTTTTCAGTTTAGATGACTTGGTTGTTTTTGTTTCTATGTACAG